CTTCAGATATTCTTCCAAAGCCATTTTTTCTTCTTCAACCATCTGATGTACTTGCAGCATTCCACGCCCACCTATTTGCCTTGGTAGATAAAGTCTGTCAATATCACTTCGTGGATGAAGGGCATGATTCATTGTCATTATTTTTCTGGTCTTCCTATCCATTGCTTTTAGTTCTGCTTGAGTCCAGTCCACTATTCCAACTGTGTATCTAATGACTGGAATTGCCCAGGTGTTGATTGCCTTTATAGTATTTCCTCCATTGAGTTTGGATTTTAAGATCATCTTCACTCTCTTGATGTATTCACCTCTGATCTTTTTCTTGACTTCAGTGTGCTTGATGTTGTCAGCTTGAAGGATACCCAAGTATTTGTAGTAATCTTCCTCATCCAGACTCTTAATGTTATTTTCGTGGGGCATCTTGATTCCTTCAGTTCTCACTATTTTTCCTTGTTTGATAGTATTATTATTATTATTATTATTATTATTATTATTATTATTATTCTCTTTACTGTTCCAGCTATTAAATATCTTGATGCAAGTTCATTATAATAATGATTTTAAATAATTTGCTACCTCTGTAAAAAAAAAAGTGCTCTCTTTTTCCTTCCCTCCCCAGCTTATGATCCAAATAACAAGCGCCTCCGCCAGATAAAAGACCAAGTTCTCACTGACTCCAGATTCAAGCCCAGGATCCTTTTCCAGCTCCTTCTGGATACAGCCCAGTTTGAATTCATTTTGAAAGAGGTAAATAAAAACCTGGGAGGCTCGTTTTTGAGGCGGGAGGGAGTGTGTGTCACAGTTCACAAGAAGCTGTGGGTCACCCCAAAATAAGAACAGCTGAAAACTCAGATTTGGCTATTTTTTTGAGTGTCGTGATCATTGTTCTCCTGGGTCATAGATGTCTCATTGCAAGAACCCAGAGAAACAGCTTCAGGAGTTTGTTTTCTCTAAAATGCTTGAAGGAGAATTTCATTAAAAAAATGTTTTTTTAAAAGATGGCCTGATCCTTTCTTATTTTCTCTGAGAATCTTTGAAAAATGTATTATTGATGCTTTATCTGTCTGTCTGTCTGTCTGTCTGTCTGTCTGTCTCTCTCTCTCTCTCTCTCTCTCTCTCTCTCTCTCTCTCTATCTATCTATCTATCTATCTATCTATCTATCTATCTATCTATCTACTCTATCTATCTATCTATCTATCTATCTATCTATCTATCTATCTATCTCATTTCTAAACTGCCCATTATATTTGCATGACTCTGGGCATTTTACAAATAAAACAATAACACCATATAGAGGTAGTCCCCACCTTTCAACCATCCATTTAGCGACTGAATAAGGTGACTTATGACCGGTTCTTGCACCAACAACTGTTGTAATGTCCCCATGGTCACATGAAACAAAATTTGGGTGTTTGGCAACCAGCATATGTTACGACAGTTTCAGTATCCTGGGGTCATTTTAGTGAATGGGGGAAGCATTAGTGATCGTGTGATTCCCTTTAACAACTGGGGCAATTCATCTAACAGGTGTGGCCCAAAAAAGGTTGCAAAATTAGTCATGACTCGTTTAACAATCCGGTCACTTAGCAACAGTTGTTCCGGTGTTAGGTATGGTCTGCCTATAAAAGCATAGTTAAAAACAAAGTTAACAAAATATATTTATTTATCTAATGTCTATTTTTAATGTATGGTTAATCGAATAGAGTGCTTTTAAGTTTATTTGATCAATATTCTGACATATACCTCTTCTTCCTAATCAGATATTTTTAGTCATAGACTCAACTCAGCTAGCTGACTTTTTGGTCAGTGATTTGAATAGGATTTGCAACGATTCACTGACCCCTTAAGTGTATCATTAACAGCTTTGGGTTTTGGCCACTTGTCTTTTAATCTAAGCCTCCCAGAGTAGCTCTGGATAGTAAGATGGGTGGCATTTAAATTTAATAAATAAATCTGAGAAACGTCTGTCTTTCTACTAGATGTTCAAACAAATGTTGTCAGAAAAGCAAACGAAGTGGGAGAGCTACAAGACAGAAGGATCAGAAAGAATGGCTGAATTGGCAGATGTCTTTTCAGGAGTGAAACCATTAACCAGAGTGGAGAAAAACGGTAGGCTGAAACCGAAAAACAAGCTGCAATCTTGTTAAAAACGTTTAGCGTGAAGAGTAATGAATTTCCAATTCATTTTTAACAAAGTCAAACCCGCAACTCTTTGTCTAATTTAAATCTTTCTTCCAATTGTAAATATGTAAACCAACAGCAGACACGTCCTTCTGATTTTAGCTCTCCCTTAGGCTTGAAAATAGGATCACCAAGATTAAAAGATATTATTTTACCGTAGGTCCACCAGTCTGGCTTCGCCACCGTTTCTTTTGTGTGTGTGTGTGTGTGTGTGTGTGTGTGTGTGTGGTTGCTTTTAGTTTTCAGCAGATGTCATTGTCTTCATGCTGTTGGCTCTTTTTCAGAGGGGAAAAAATGGAGGGCTGAATTTCTTCAGTGAATAAATAAAGGGAAATGATGGACTGTGTTCGTTATTGATTGGGTAGATGTGAAACTTGCTATTAGGACCTATGTTCTCTAGCAACTTCTGTTGAAATATTGCAAGTTGAATCCTTTCATGGCAAGTGCATATTTAATAAATTAAGAATTTCCAACAGCAAGATGGAAACATGACATGACAGTTTCAGCATCCTGGGGCCCTTTGTGACTTTTGCAGCTGGCGTCTCACAAGCAAAGGGAATAGGGGAAGCCAGAGTCACATGCAGAAATAACATCTTGTTTCTCGAAGCTAAAAGAGGCTAGTATTCTGGCTCTGTTTTTTCCCCCCTACACAAGTTAGACTTCTAAGTCTTGCATTGTAGGGGCACATAAAGATTAGTATTTTTGCAAATGAAAGAAAACGATCATCTAATTCTTAAGTATTTTTCCTATTTTAGTCAATATTTGGAAACACAACATTTGTAGACAGAGAGTTTAGGGCAGTGATGGCAAATCTTTTAGAGACCGAGTGCCCAAACTGCAACCCAAAACCCACTTATGTATCGTCGGGTGCCGGGTAGGTGTGCCCCATTGGGTGGGCGTGGCCCATTGGGTGGGCGTGGCTGCGGTGGTAACGGCAGACTGGGTGGGCCTAAAAAGTTCAATCAATCAATTCCAACTTTGTGAGAACTTTTTCTTTTCCCGCGAGAAGTTGAAATTGATTGAACCCTTTTTTTTTTTTTGCACATGGTGGCGGAGGCCTAAAGCGAAAAGGTTTTATAAAACCCAGCTGAAGGCCTAGGACTGGGACGACGGCGCACACGCCACAGAGAGAGCTCTGCATACCACCTGTGGCACGCGTGCCATAGGTTCACCACCATGGGTTTAGGGCAGTGTTTCTCAACCTTGACAATTTTAAGGCATGTGGACTTCAACTCCCAGAATTCCACAGCCAGCATTGCTGGCTGTGGAATTCTGGGAGTTGAAGTCCACATGCCTTAAAATTGTCAAGGTTGAGAAACGCTGGTTTAGGGGATTTCAGGGGCATTGACAGATCTGCCACAACAAGGTGATCTCTTTTATTCCTTTTCCTGCTTGGACAGAAAATCTGCAAGCCTGGTTTAGAGAAATCTCCAAACAAATCATGTCTCTGAACTACAACGACTCCACTGCAGCAGGCAGGAAAACAGTGCAGTTAATTCAAGCTTTGGAAGAGGTAAGGATGGAGTCCTTGTCTAAACATTTTCTTGTTTTCTTGGTGGAATAATAACGATTTAAAATCTCCCCAGTGAATGAGCTGCATTCAATTGTTTAACGCAGGTCCAGGAATTTCACCAACTGGAGTCCAATCTGCAAGTTTGCCAGTTTCTCGCAGACTCTCGCAAGTTTCTGCATCAAATGATCCGAACCATCAACATTAAAGAAGAGGTTTTAATCACCATGCAGATAGTAGGGGACCTTTCCTACGCTTGGCAGCTCATTGACAGGTATTGACTCCAAAGACATTCTGAATTCTTCTTACCAGGACTGATTAGTTGAATAGGCTGGCTTCCCCAAACGAAGTAGCGTGTTTGATGTCCTATTGTAGAAGCAATCATATCTAAATAATGAATTTTAAGAGTTGGAACCTCTTCTGATTCTTATAATTTGTCAATTAAGGGGTGGAAAATGCTGCTATGTAGATTAAGAGTACAGATGGTCCTCCACTTATGATCATAGTGGAGCCTGCCCATCACAGTTGTAAGTCTAGACACTCATAGTAAAGCAGTTGCCACACTTGCAAAGCAAACCAGTGTTTATGAGGTGGTTTTGCTGAAAACAGGAAATAAATTCAGCAAAACCCTTGTAAAATGCAATCAAATGACCGTGAGACACCGCAAGCAGCTATCAATGCAGCTTGGATGCCAAACGCCGGAGGTTTAGTCACGTGACTGCAGGGGTGGAGGTGACCATTGAAATGTTAAATCTGGGTCATAAGTAGCCTCCCAGATGGGTACTAGCAAACTAGTCGTAAATTGAGGACTACCTACAGTGCATTCTACATGAACAGCATGTGTTCTACTGTAGAGCTACAACTTCTCTACAAGAATTGTAGAATTCCTATCTTAGCTTTGTTTTCTGATCACTTTAGGGAGCGGATTCTAAGCTTGCTTGCCGCATAAGGTGGTAATAATAATAATATAATAATGATAATAATAATAATATAATGATGATGATGATGATGATGATGATGATAATAATAATAATAATAATAATAATAATAATAATAATAATAATAATAATAATAATAATAATAATAATAATAATAATAATAATAATAATAAAAGTTGGAAGAGACCTTGGAGGTCATCAAATTCAACCCCCTGCTCAGGCAGGTAACCCTATACCATTTCGGACAAATGGCTGTCAAGTTTCTTCTTAAAAACTTCCAGTGTTGGAGCATTCATCGCTTCTGGAGGCAGGTTGTTCCACTGGTTAATTGTTCTAACTGTCGGGAAGTTTCTCCTTAGTTCTAGGTTGCTTCTCTCCTGGGTTAGTTTCCACCCGTTGCTTCTTGTCCTGCCTTCAGGCGCTTTGGAGAATAGCTTGACTCCCTCTTCTTTGTGGCAGCCCCTGAGATATTGGAACACTGCTATCATGTCCCCCCTCGTCCTTCTCTTCGTTAAACTAGACATACCCAATTCCACCAACCGTTCCTTATATGTTTTAGCCTCCAGTCCCCTAATCATCTTTATTGCTCTTCTCTGCACTCTTTCTAGAGTCTCAACATCTTTTTTACATTGTGGTGACCAAAACTGGATGCAGTATTCCAAGTGTGGCCTTACCAAGGCATTGTAAAGTGGTATTAATACTCTGCGTGATTTTGACTCTATCCCTCTGTTAATACAGCCCAGCATTGTGTTGGCTATTTTGGCAGCTGCAGCACACTGCTGGCTCATATTTAAATGATTGTCCACTAGGACTCCGAGATCCCTTTCTATGGAGAAGTTCAGATCTATTTGATTGTAAATGTAGCTGCCTTGTTTGGTTGACAGTCTTCACACGAACAAGGCTTTAAAAGAAGGACAGAGAACTTTCCAGGAGGCCAAGCGCCCCACCACTTTTAATGGGAGTGAAGACCACAATAAGAAGTATAATAATATATGCAGAATCATATCATGTACCAGTCCAGTTTACAATTTTTCGTATTTGTTTCTGCATTTATATGAACGGTTCTATTTTGTTGTTGTTATTTACATTTAAATCTTAAACATGTTAAGTCTGTTTTAGCCCAAATATTGATTTCAGCTTTTATTTCTGTCATGGCTTTATTTATCTTCCCGCACCCTTTTTCCAGTTTCACCTCTATCATGCAGGAAAGTATAAGAGTCAGCCCTTCTATGGTAACCAAACTCCGGGCCACCTTTTTAAAGGTGAGTTGCTTAGTACATTAGCAACAATCCAGCTTTTGGGAGGTCGGATTAGGAATCCTTTATGGGAGGGGGCTTGGGGGGGCACCTATTTGTTGCCTCTCTTGAAATCCTTTGTCCCAAGTTGACAAATTGGATTTCCAAGACCATAAAACTGATCCATTTTATTCTGGATTCTTTCCAGAATGGAATTAGGCTTTTCAAAAATAATTAAGGATTTACTTTACTCAGAATATGTTTTACTTACATAGTAATTCTAATGACTTTCACTCTCAGGCGTGGAAATCTGAGGCTCAATTTACACACCAAAGACAACTTTTGCTTAGTCACAGCTTGTTAAATAATTGGCTGAGTTTGTACAGTAGACTAAGCCACAAACCATGATTTACAAGCCATAGTAGCTAAATTCGCTCCTTGCATTAAGCCACTATCAATAGAAACCATATTATAACCTAAAGTATATCTGGGAACTTTATTGATGTCTCTATCTCCCTTGCTTCCAGCTGGCTTCAGCTCTTGACATGCCACTTCTTCGCATCAATCAAGCAAACAGTCCTGATCTTCTCAGTGTATCACAGTATTATTCTGGAGAACTGGTATCCTATGTAAGAAAGGTGAGCAGGATCATTTTTGGAGATATTTTTTCCCTTGTTACAAACTGGGAAAGCCGTTTTTCAAGAGTTCCCCTCTGGAAGAACTTTAGAATAGACCAGTGTTTCTCAACCAACTGAAGATGTGCTGACTTCAGCTCCCATAATGCCATATTCTGACTGAGAAATTCTGGAAATTAAAAAGTCCACACATCTTAAAAATTGCTGATTTTGAGAAACGCTGCAGTGGACTATCACAATTCAAGTTGAACCTCTTGGCCACTGTAGCCAAGAACTTTCTAGATCTTTGAACCAAAGATAGTCTCCTTTGCCCAACCCCAGAAGCCAGAAAGGAAAGTGATTTGGATCTTCCTACCTAAATCCAGTAATAAAGAACTGAACAACCATCTAAGAGTTTGTTAGATTAGATTAATAGTAGTTATATAATCACGCAGCCTTAAACATGATGACATTTATAATGAGAATGTTCTCTATTTAAATCAATGAAAGTTCATCTCTAGGTAAAAATATTGAATTTAGCGGAGAAAGGAAATATAAAAAAGAAAGGGAAGGTAGAAAACACATTCACCAAATTCTAAATAGTAGTAGTAGTAGTAGTAGTAGTAGTAGTAGTAGTAGTAGTAGTAGTAATAATAATAATAATAATAATAATAATAATAATAATAATAATAATAATAATAAAGTTGGAAGGGACCTTGGAGGTCATCAAGTCCAACCCCTTGCTCAGGCAGGTAACCCTATACCATTTCGGACAAATGGCTGTCCAGTCTCTTCTTAAAAACTTCCAGTGTTGGAGCATTCACCACTTCTGGAGGCAGGTTGTTCCACTGGTTAATTGTTCTAACTGTCAGGAAGTTTCTCCTTAGTTCTAGGTTGCTTCTCTCCTTGGTTAGTTTCCATCCGTTGCTTCTTGTCCTGCCCTCAGGTGCTTTGTGTTGAGCTAAAGAACATATTGTTCCTGTTGGCTTAGATCACACCTATCTATGTGGCTAGAAAGTTAGTTTGGTATACAAGTAGTTCTTGCTTAATGACCATTTGTTCAGCAACCGTTTGAAATTATAACCACACTGAATAAAGGGATTTATGACCTGCCCTCCCCCAAATAATAGTTGAAAAGGGCTTTACTTGGGGATAACAAAAAATAACTTTCGCTAATTCAGGTCTCTCTTCATTGGAGTTCAATGGGTATTGTTCTATTATGCTAAAAACTAGAGGGGTATTGTACCCCTTAAAGCAGTGGTTCTCAACCTGTGGGTCGGGACCCCATTTGGGGTCGATCGACCATTTCATGGGGGTCGCCAAGCAAGGCTGTCCGCCATTTTTTTCCCTTTTCCGGCGGGTGCCTTACTTCCCTTGGGCTGGGCCAGCTGGTGGTCGGCCTGCTTCGTCTCTGCCGCTTGCCAGCTACGCCTCGGCCGGTGCAGGGGGCGGAACCACGCATGTGCGGTGCTCCCGGGCAGGGAAAGTCCTCGACTTACGACCGGTTGGGTAGTCCTCGACTTACGACCGGTTTAGTCCTCAACTTACGACCGGTTGGGGTCGCGGCATTAAAAAGGTTGAGAACCACTGCCTTAAAGGAACTATTACTTTTCACTCGCTAATCAATATTTTTGCATTTTGTATTTTTGCCTTTTGGGAGAAAAGGTTTTACAGATCATTCCAGAAAGCATGTTCACTTCTCTCCTGAAGATTATAAAACTGCAGACTCACGATATCATTGAGGTGCCAACTCGCTTGGACAAGGACAAGCTGCGAGATTATGCTCAACTTGGACCACGCTATGAGGTGCTTCAAAGTTTACAGTGTTAGAGAGATTAGGTGCACTTCTGGAATTGGTATGAAGTCATATTCCTGGATGATAGAGACTCTGTATAGCAATGATGGCGAACCTTTTAGAGACAGTGCCCAA